CCCCCCCATCTCCTAAGTCCTAAGTCCATCTCTAACAGCCACTGGACTGGCACAAGGTCCCCCCAGCAACCCTAAATTCAGCATCTCAATTATTCCGGACAGTCGATTTTCCTTCTCTCCCTCTTTAGGGTGAAGCAAGGGACCAGCCCAGCATGGACAAAATGCCAGATTCTCGTACCGTTTTTCCCGAGTCTGTTTACGAGGAGTCTCACAATTCATTAATAGCAGAATCAAAATTAAGGCCCCGCTGCTGGGAGGAAAACCAATCCGATTAGATTTGTTAAGCCTAATGAAGAAATGAAAAATGGGCTCGAAAACAGAAAAGAGTCTGAAACCCTTCTGCTGGCTTCCAGCAGGGTAGGAAGCAGGGACCCAGCAGCACACTGGTCATTCAAGCCACATTTTCCACCCTGGCAAGACACCGAGCATACACTAAACACTGGCAAGAGGTAACAGGGCCAAGGCTCGAGGGAAGGTATCTCTTGGCAGCCTCTGCTGAGGTACCAGAAACAGCCAGGACTTGGAGAACACCGTGTTCCGGTCAAAGCTCCGGCCTAGACCACAGTGACACAGTCTAACCCGTGTAGACCCTGGGAGAGTTCTTATTTTGAAAGCAGAAAGCGTGACACAAAAGTGCCGACACAGGAGACAGGGAATGACCACCAGGTGGGTCGATCTGGAGAATGACACTGAGGATGACAAGGAAGGGGACAGGCAGGCTGGACTTACACGATCATGCAGAACATCATGAAGACATTCCACAGCGCGATGAAGATGCGGAAGTATCTAAGGCTCAGTAGGAACTCCCGGATGTTGTCACCTGCAAAGGCAGAAAGCATTTTTACAAGCACGGCTCACATGTCTGCTGTCACGGCTGCAGTGTGCTTCTGCAGTTTCTGCCCGCCCCCATCCCACTACCCCACGTTCCGGGGGCAGCATGGCTTTCCCTGTGGGTCGCCTCTGCTCCCTGACCCTTGGCATTCTGGCAGTAGCTGCCACTGACCAACCCCTGAGAGCACCCAGTCCCCAGTCTCTGATTGGCTCAGAGAGGGAACATGTGACCCAAGTCTACCCAATGAGAGTCAGTCCTGAGATTTTTTTTGTCTCAACCACTGGGAAGGTGGCATTTGCTTCCTGTCCATCTTTCTGGGCTAGGAAGTTGTAAGCCCAGTCCTTTGGGTCAGAGATTGGCAAACTGTGGCCCATGGGCCAAAGCCAGCCCCTCCCGCCTGTTTCTATATGGCCTGTTAACTAAGAATATCTTTGATACTTTTTAATGGTTAAAAAAAATCAAAGGAGTATTTTGTGAGACACAAACGTTACATAAAATTCGTATTTCAGTGTCTATAGATAAGTTTTATCAAAATACACCCATGCCCCCTCATTTATATATAGGAGATAAACCTCAGAGCTATTGTCGATTTGGTTCTGGCTCCAGACCACTGCAATAAAGCAAGTCAAATGATTTTTTTGGCTTCCCAGTGCATATAAAAGTTACGTTTACACTATACTATAGTCTATTAAATATGCAGCAGCATTACATCTAAAAAATAATGTAAATGCATTAATTTAAAAATTATTGGTGGGTGTATAGATGGCTTGATGCTCGGTTGAACATCCATCTGGCTCTTGGTTTCGGCTTGTGTCATGATCTCCCAGTTCAGGAGTTCGAGCCCCACATCTGCTGGGGATCCTCTCTTTTTGCCTTTCCCCTTCACTTGCTCTCTCTCTCTCTCTCTCAAAATAAATAAACTTTAAAAATATATATATTGCTGGGGTGCCTGGGTGGCTCAATCAGTTAAGCATCCAACTCTTCATTCTGGCTCAGGTCACGATCTCAGGGTCTAGAGTCAAGCCCCCCATAGGGCTCCAAGTTGGGCATGGAACCTGCTAAAGATTCTCTGTCTTCCGGGGCACCTGGGTGGCTCAGTCGGTAAAGTGGCCGACTTCAGCTCAGGTCATGATCTCATAGTTTGTGAGTTTGAGCCCTGTGTCAGGCTCTGTGCTGACAGCTCAGTCTGGAGCCTGCTTGGGTTTCTGTGTTTCCCCCTCTCTCTGCCCCTCCCCTACTTGCACTCCGTCTCTCCTCTCCCTCAAAAATAAACACATTAAAATTAAAAAAAA